GCTTGTCTTCAAATGCAAGGTGGTCATTTCGAGCATCTTTTGTAAAAGTAATTAAAACAGAAAATTCATTATATCTCATAAACGAAGACAGATAGAACTTTTTTTCATTATTTTTAGGCGTACAATCCCACAAGTTATGAAACACCCTGTATATAAATAAAATTATATATATAATTATAACATATAATATTAAGTATACATGTAATATATCGTAATACTTTTTCTTTCTTAAATTTTTTAAACATTCAATACTCTAGTATGGACTAAGAGTTCAAAGGGTTAACAAATTTCATTTATACCAGCCAGTGTGACATTAGTTTGTCAGTAAAATAGGAACATGAAATTGCATGTTGCACGTTTGTTAGAATTTTGCCGTATATACGGAAGAATAGAAGAAAAATTCTAGCCTTCGTAGAAAAGACCAAATTTTCTACCGAGTCAAAAAAAGTTTAATTTGCGTTGGTTACTGTTTGTCGATGAAGCAGAAATAATATCGAATTCTGTTGCATGTCTTTCAGAATTTTAACGCACAAAGATAAATACAAAATTGATCCCCTTCGTAAAATGTAAGCAACTTTTACGTTTCGTATTAAATTAACAAGGTAATGCGACGTTAAGTCGTTGATAAAATAGAAATAAGGAATTCTGTTGTATGTTTTTTCAGAATTTTACTGCTCCCCCTTTCGTAAAACGTCCAAACGTTTTATCTGTGACGCTATTTCTTCGAATAAAATAGAAATATCAAATTGCGTTGCATGCCTCTAATAAAAGTAAGAGGAAATTTCTTCCCGTTGTGTAAAATCTAAATTTAGCAAAGTCTAAATTTCGTATTAACAAACTTTATTTATCTCAACTAACGTGACTGATTAATTCGTTGATGAAATAGAAAATTCGAAATCCTGTTGTTTTTTTTTTTAGAATTTTCATCGTCCTCCCTTTCGTAAAACGTAGAGAAGCTCAATTTTTACGCTGTCCATACTGTCTGATCTATATTGTGCGTTATCTATGTTACGTTATCTATAGATAGTGACTCTAGTTCTTCGACAGTATCAAGCACGTATTTAAACAACAAAATTCCTCATACCTTTTACATTTCCTCGCGTTTCTGTACATTTATCCCTGGCAATCGATATTTTCAAGCCGGCGGACAAATGTTCGATGCACGTAAAAGCACGGGCAGGAAGTTGGACGGAAGTTGGACAAATTCAAAATAAGAGTAACGCGTAGAAAGACATCGCGTCGATCTCACCCTCAACAGCAATATATTTTACATGGAGGTTGGAAATTTTTCTCCAAACACAGACAGAGGAAAGACTTTTCCTTTTTTGTTCTCTCTCTCTTTTTCTCTGCGTTTCGTTCGAGAGAGATACCCTCCAAGTTGACAGAGGAATATTCAGAACCATGGATACACATGAGAGTACGTACGCACGTTTACGAGTGTTTGATAAAAGGGAAGTTCACTCGGGGAAATAGTTATCGCAGACTCCCTTCTGTAACGTTATGTGCGAGACAGCGGATGATTCGATAAAAGAAACTTCTTATCTCGTGTTAGACTTTTCTCGTGGTAGACAGATCTAACGTAGATAACGGGTGAGCGTAACGGGAGGGTTGTGACTTCCCCGGAATTTAATTCCAACTTTCCCGGAGATCGACGATTTGATCTAAATCCGTGGCTGAACTTCCGTTCCCCGACATTGTATGCACATACATAAGTAGGTATATTTGCTCGGTAGTTAGTTCCAGAAGTTCTTCCCATCCGCGGCCGTGCCTCCCTTGGATACATATATTAACCTCTCGTGCTGGAACGCGTGCTGCCGCCCACGTCGACAACTTTTCGTCCCAAAATCGCGACATTTTCTCAGCTTTAAGTATATTTAAGCACAATCCAGGCAAAACAGATGATAAATTTATTGCTTCTCAATAATTTATATCCGGTGATGTGAGTATAAAGAACGACGTGAGTTCAAAAGAAAGCGACGAGTTGTATACGGCTCGGTCGCTCGTTATGGTCCGCAATCAGTTGCCAGCGCAATTGGTCAAGGGAAATGAAAAGTTACGTTATTACGCTTATTGGCAGCTCTTTCTCTCTTTTTCTTTTTGTTAATTTATTGTTTTATTAATTTACGTATTATATAAATTGATATATATTATAAATAATACATATAAGTAATATAGATATAAATAATAGATAATATATATAATATAAATATCTGTAGTCTACGAAAATATTCAATGCGCAGTTGTATGGTCATTCTCTTTCATTGGTTATGTAACGAGGCTCGATTATCGTAGTTAATGTTGCTGAAACTTAGAACGAGTAACAGGATGAGTTTCAAAAGTTGTATAAATATTTATTCGTATGAAAATATTGTAGAAACTTTTCTTAAATCCATCACGTGTTGTGTGATACATTTTGAAATTTCATTAACGCCAGAACCACCAAAGTGAAATTTGTCAAAATGACAAATTTATAATTTCCTATGAAAATTTCACATATTTCACATAATTACAGCAGTGTATTTTATACTCGAGTGACTTTTCATAAAATATATCGACAGAAACTTGTGTCCTTTATATTGAATTATTAACTTTTTCTTGTATCTTGCGCTTGAATTCCTTTGCTATAAATATTATACTTTTTCGTCGGTAGTTCTAGTGTTAACTATGCAACTGTCGGACTTAATTATTATAATTGATATTGGTGAATTTTGAAACGGCTTGAAAAGTTTTATAAATATACTATTCGTGAAAATATTGGAACAGAATTGTAGAAATTTTCTTACAGTTGGAATTTTGAAATTTCATTAGAGTATCACGACTATTTCAAATTAGACAAAATTAAAAATAAATCTGAAAATCTATCCTCTTTAGGTAATGTCATGGAAAAGAGAAGTCTACTTCAGTATTTCTAACGTGAAAACATCAATTGAAATTCTCATTCCATATGACAAACACCTCTTTAAAAGTTCAAAGTTTGATAATCTCAGTCCAATATCAACATCGTCGAATTAATTTTAAAATTATCGACAACTCTCGCTATGAAAGGGATTTGATTTCAGTTTATCAAAATTGAAGATAACTCGAAACGACGAAGAAAAATTATTACGATTATACATTATATATATATATAATAATAATAATAATAATCATTATTCGATATCATTAGACAGTCGATCTGAGCACCAAACACAATCCATTCAGTTTATATTTCAGTCACATTTCGAACAATTACAATATTACTTACTCGCGTCAATTACAGATTATATTTCAATTACATCTCGAAACGATATAATTGCGAATTATATTTCAATCACATCTTGCACGATATATTTATGAAAAAG